GGCGGGAGGCAAGGTGTGGCGGAGGGCTCTTCCCGGTGGCACCAGTGCTCTCCCGGCCATGTGTTGCTCCAGGAACATGTCTCCTGGCTCCTCTCCCGGTTCTGACATAAGAGGGAGGCAGCCCTATACGGCTGGGATGGGCATGGGGGGCAAAGCGTGGAGGCCTCATTGAGCCAGGCCCTGTGGCGCTGCGAGGCAGAGTGTGGGCAGCTGTGGGTGCCCCATGGGCATCCAAGGTCTCTTTGCTGATGGAGCAACCTTGTGGCTGGGCATGAGGGGGATGATGAGCTGGGTGGCCTGCAGTGCCATGTTGCCATGTCTAGGGTGGCCAGCCCAACTTGCTGGAGGGTCCCATGGCAGGGGAGCCGAGTGGTGTGTGGGCATCTGGTCAACCCACAGGGCTTGGGGTATCTGGGATGTGCCTCTGGCTATCGGGTCAGCCCTGAAGACTGTAAGGGTATGGGGACTCCTGTCATGAGGTCAACCCAGAACATTGGATGGTCATGTGTGTGTGTCCAAGAGGTGAGCCCGGAGGGCTGGTGGGTCCTGAGGAGGGGTATCTACCCGTTGGGTCAACCTTGGGGGCTGCTTCCCCTGCCCTAGCTGCCTGGAGATGTGCGGATCCTCTTCATCCCCCAAACATCTGCCCATGACTGGGAGCAAGACCAGGCTCTGTACCTCCCTGACTGCCCCGCTTCTCCCCACAGACTTGTCACGGGCTCTGCCACTGCCCGGAGATGCCGGCATGCCGGTGCCCACCTGCCTGCAGCGCCCTGCTCTGAGTCCCATGTTCAACACGAGCTGCGCCATGGAGGCACCAGGAGAGGAGCCGCCTGGAGATGGCACCGAGCCGTGGGTTGGTGGGCTGCACAACAGTAACAACAACGCATCGCCAGCGGGCTGGCTGGGCCCCCGCAACGGCCGCCCTTTCTCACCCTTCGGTGCCCGAGCCCCCAGCACCGAGCCCAGCTACGTGGAGCGCGTGGTGCTGGAGCTCGTGGAGTCGGAGCGCACCTACGCGCGGGATCTGCGCAGCATTGTGGAGGTGAGCGGCTTGGCCAGAGTCTGGAATGCAGCCCCCGTCTCCCCATTGACTGGGGGCCCTCTGTGGTAAGGATGACGTGGGGAGGTGCCACGGGTGTCACCTCCGATCGCGGCTGCTCGGCAGGGTTACTTGGGCAAGATCATCGATGCGGAGGAGCCGTTGCTGCGACCGGAGCAGGTCCGCGCGCTCTTCGGGAACATCGAGGACATCTACGAGCTGAGCAGGTGAATAGCCACGGTGCCTCCATACGGGCATCTTGGGCGGCTGGGTGCCGCTGCTCGACCGTGACCTTGGGACTGGTGCTCCTGTGGTGTGGCACCACGAAGTGGCCGCTTGCTGGGAGGCCTGGTGGTGGATGAGGGTCATCTTGTGCACGTACCCCTCCTGCCTCGCCTGGTGTCCTGCTTCTGGTGTGCCAGCCGTGCGCGTCACTCTCTTCACTCTGTTAACATCATGCTCTCTCTAACAGCAACCTGCTGCAAAACCTGGACAGCTGCGACAATGACCCCGTCGCTGTGGCCGTCTGCTTCGTGACCCGGGTAAGATGCAGGCATCCCCAGCGTGTGCAGCGTGGGGACCTGGCGGGCATGGCAAACGGGGAGACTCTGTGGCGAGTGCCAGGCTCTCACCTCGCTCTCTCCATTGCCACAGAGCCAGGAGTTTGATATTTACACCCAGTACTGCAACAACTACCCCAAGTGAGTGCGTGCGGGCGCACAAGCAGCCAGGGCTGGCTCCGGCTCCGGGTTCCTTTGCTGGGTCAGGGCAGCCTTGGCCTAAGGCTGAGCACGTGTGTGCGTGTCCCCCGTCAGCTCGGTGGCGGCTCTGACCGAGTGCATGAGGAACAAGCAGCAGGCCAAGTTCTTCCGCGAGTGCCAGGAGCAGATGCGGCACGCGCTGCCCCTCGGCGCCTACCTGCTCAAGCCCGTCCAGAGGATCCTCAAATACCACCTGCTGCTCCAGGTGAGCAGGCACCTGAGGTGACACGGGCACTGCTGGCAGCATGGGTGCCTGCTGTGGTCCAAGCATATCCCCTCGAGACAGGCCGAGCACGTGGTGTGGTCTGTTCCTTTGGTGTGGCATGTTCCCCAGGTGGTTTGGTCACTTGGCACAACACGTCCTCCCATGTTGTCCCCCTCACAATTGGAGCACCTGGTACAACTGGGGCGCCTGGCGCACTGTATTCCCCAATGCATTTTAGGCATGGGGCATTTCCCTAGCATTATCCCAGCATCGGGCATGGCTGTCAGCGCCTGCCTGAGCCGTGCCGGTCTCCTTCCCGCAGGAGATCGCTAAGCACTTTGAACACAAGTCAGGGGACGACTACGAGGTGGTGGTGGAGGCCATCGACACCATGACCTGTGTGGCCTGGTACATCAACGACATGAAGCGCAAGCACGAACACGCCATCCGCCAGCAGGTGAGGGTTGGGGGGACGCCGATGTCCCCGCAGGGGTGTTCTGGCTGTGGATTGCCAGCGTGTTCCTCTCTTTGGGTCCTCTAGGAGATCCAGTCGCTGCTGCTGAACTGGAAAGGGCCAGACCTGACCACATACGGGGAGCTGGTGCTGGAGGGCACTTTCCGGGTACATCGCGTGCGCAATGAGCGGGCCTTCTTCCTCTTCGACAAGGCTCTGCTCATCACCAAGCGGCGTGGGGACCACTACGTCTACAAGAACCACATCCCGGTGGGTGCTGCACAGTGGTGAGACCCACAGGACTGCAGCAGCCGGGACCTGGCACCTGCTGTGGCCTTGTGGCTGCCCGTGGGGAAGATGAGCCGATCCCCTAATCGTGCTGGGGCTGCCCAATGTGGGGACATCTTGCTGTAGGGGTGGCCATGGGGTGGCCGTGGGGCTGATGGTGTCTCCCTGCAGTGCTCCTCTCTGATGCTGATTGAGAGCACGCGGGACTCGCTGTGCTTCAGCGTGGCTCACTACAAGCACATCAAGCAGCAGTACAGCCTGCAGGTAGGCCGCCCCCCGCCATGGGAGCCGAGGAGGGGGCCGATGGCACCTGGCAGGCCCCACTGCACTGACCCACGGCCCACCCTGCCCCACAGGTCAAGAGCGTGGAGGAGAAGCGCGTGTGGCCCCACCACATCAAGCGGCTCATCCTGGAGAACCACCATGCCATCATTCCCCAAAAGGTGAGGACGCGCCGGGCTCCCTGCGACAGGGTGCACCAGGGTTCCCCCTCCAGAGCACGGCCATCACGAGTGGCTGTGGGCAGGGTGACCTTGGCCTTCGTCCACCAACCTCTCTCCTTCCCTCCTCCTTGCCAGGCCAAGGAGGCCATCCTGGATATGGACTTGTTCCGTAAGTGCTGTCCGTGCCCTGCATGCCCCTTGCTGCCCCTGCGGGCCACCGTGCCTCAGCGTCGCCTCGTGTGCCCCGCAGACCCTCCGCGCCTGCCCCGCTACAGCCCTGAGCGGCTGAAGAAGAGCTGGTCATGCCAGCCCCTGGAGGAGCCGTCCGCGGAGCCACGCCAGGGCCGCCGGCAGTCGGGTGAGCGCCGGGCTCGCGGGATGACCTCTGCAGAGCTCTGCGCTCCCACCGGCCTTGCTGGCAGCAGCAACGGTGCCCATGCCCATCTCGGGTGACAGCTTGGGACCGCCAGTCCCCAGCCATGACCCTGGCACAGCACAGCCCAGGCGGCGCTGCAGGCCCCGCTCTCCAAGCGTCCCTGTTGTCTCTCTCCGGTCTCGCCGCTTGTCCCTGCCCTGCAAGCGTCCCTGGGGCAAAGTCCAGCAGCCGTTGGACCGATGCCAACCGAGAGCCCTTTCCCAGCTCCAGGCACCATGAGCCGGGCACTGGAGGGGTGGCTGTTGTCCCAAAGCCCGTGCCAGAAGGGTCTCCACACTGGAGGGACCCCAGTGCTCTGGGTGGGAAGGTGGACGGCTTGGACAGAGCTTCTCATGGTCACCCCTGTGTGGGCAGCCGGATCTGGGCTCCACAGGGAACACGGGTGCTCCTTGCCCAGTCTAACGGGTGTCCCTCCCATCCTCAGAGCTCCTCCAGCATCGGGACCACGCGGAGACGCTGCCGGACAGGCTTCACGGGCACAGCGGGCGCAGACAGTCGGGTGCGAACGTGCCCAGGGGATGGTGGCGGGGTGATGGTGATGGCAGGGCAGGGCCAATGTCCCCCTGTGCCCAGGGACCCTGGTGGGCTGTGCCAGGCCTGGTGGCTTCCTGAAGAAGGGGGGTATGACAAGGCTGGCCCTAAGGGGCCTTCTTAGGTGCGGTGCTTGGTGCCCAGGCTGTGGTGCTTTGCGGGGCGGGGGACAGCTTGGAGGTCCCATAGCCACTGCTGTGGCCGGGCTTGACCCCCTTCTTCTCCCCGCAGAGCCCGCCAAGCAGATCCTGCAGCAGCTGGGGGAGCAAGGTGAGCAGCCCCCGCGGGCCCAGCGGGCATCTCACGGGCAGGGGAGGGCTGAAGGGACCCCTGTGGGGTGAGACAAGTGAGCCCTGCAGCCCGGCTAAGGGCTGAGGCACGAGCCAGGGGGGTCGTCGTGACCCCTCCACTAATCTCTGCTCTTGTCTCTTCCATGTGCGGCTGGCAGGTCTCCAGGTAAGGCCGGGGCACAGGGTGGGCTGGTGGGGAGGCCCTGGCGTGTCCCCAGCGGCCACCAGGCCTGGCACGCCGTGGTGCTGTGCCCCCAGCCTGGCCCTGCTGTGCTGAGCACAAAAGCAGCCATTGCTTTTACCTGAGCAGCACGCGGGCAGCGAGGGAGCCCTCCTGGAACTGGGGGAGCCCTCACAGCGCCCCAGGCCCTGGGCTATGGCTCAGGGAGTCGTGGAGGAAGAGGAGGAGGAGGAAGGGGAGGCTTTCGGCGAGGACTGCCAAGAGGAGCTGCCCAGTGCCGAGGCCGTGCCCGTGGGCCCCCAGGAGGAGCAGGTAGCTGCTCTGCTCCCCTCCCTGCCTGTGGACGCGTTGCCTCTGCTCTGCGCCCTCCAGCCTGTAATGCCCCATGTTTGGCTTTTCTCCCAGGCCCTGGGGCATGCCCAGGTGCCCGAAGGGCCCAAAGCCTGCAAGAGACCGAGCAGCCGAGGCCCGGGGAGCTGCGAGAAGCGCCGTGGTGTGGACACCGCTGGGGCCAGCGAGGAGGTGAGCGCAGAGCCCGTGCGGGAGGTGCACGGGCACAGCGGGGCCCGGCACCCACCGGGCTGCCACTCTGCAGGCCGGCAGCGATGAGGAGCACGGGGAGGTGCTGGGGATGCCCATGGGGGTGGCAGAGCACCTTGAAGAGCCCTCTTCATCAGACATGGAGTCTGTGGGGACCCCGGAGGCGATGCTCCTGGGCCGGCACGAGCAGGGCGAGCTGGAGCCGGAGTCGTGCTTGGGTGGGGTTGCAGCGGAGACGGCGGAGGACCTGCGGACCCTGAGCAGCGAGGAGGAGGAGGAGGAAGAGGAAGAAGAGCGGGCCCTGCACGCCCCTGGCAGCATCCTGCCGCCCTCCGTGCTGGACCAGGCCAGCGTCATCGCGGAGCGCTTCGGCAGCAGCTTCTCACGCCGCAGCAGCCTGGCGCCCGAGGAGGGCCGGGGCTCGCTCCCAGCCGCAGCAGCAGCGTGCTCAGCCTCGAGGGCAGTGCCCCCGACGCCCGAAGCGGCCCCCCGCTCCCGGCCAGTGACGAGGGCGAGTGCGGGGCTCCCACCAGCGCCGCAGCCTCACCGGACCCGCTGGCCTGCCCGCGCAAGGAGTCGCTGCTCTCCACGCAGGACCGCTTGCTGCTGGATAAGATCAAGAGCTACTATGACCACGCCGAGCACCAGGATGCCAGCTTCAGCATCAAGCGCCGCGAGAGCCTCTCCTACATCCCCAAGGGCTTGGTGAGGAACTCAGTGTTCCGCCTCAACAGCCTGCCCCGGCCACCACCAGAGCACGACATGGGCGCCCGCACCGCTGTCTGGGTGCTGTCTGCCAGCCCCAAGGCCGCCCCACTGGCGCAGCCGGAGGTGGTGG